CATTCTAGCAGGAAATCGGCTACCGCTTGCCCTTTGACAGCTGTTCTCGGCTCATACGTTATGTCAAATAAACTCAACTCTATGGCCCACTTTGTCATTCTGCCCGAGAGCTCTGGCTTGTGCATAAGCGTTCTGATTGGAAAAGTTGTTAGAACAGCTATAGGGTGGGATTCGAAATAATGCCTCAACTTTCTTTTTGCATTTACAAGTGCAAGTATCACCCGTTCGGCCTTTGAGTATCTTTGTTCTGCCTCTGTCATTGTTTTGCTTACATAAAATACCGAGTATTGCACCCCTTCCTTGCAACGAATCAGAACGGCACTTGTCGCGACACCAGATACTCCAAGATATAGAAATAACTTTTCTTCTGGATCCGGGGCTGACAGGACTGGTGGATTCTGCATATATTCCTTCAAATGAGTCAATGCTTGTCGTTGCTCATCCCCCCAGACCTGCATTCCATGGCTCCGAATCGTGTCAAAGAACGGCTTGCAGTGATCTGACAATTTTGAAATGAATCGACTTAATGCAGCTATTCGTCCTGTGAGGGCTTGCACCTCTCTGATCGTCTTTGGCTCGGCATTCTTAATCAAAGCCTCTGCTTGAGCGGGGCTAACTTCGATGCCTCTGCGGTTGATCACGTGTCCCAAAAACTGACCGGAACTCACACCGAACGAGCACTTGGTTGGATTGAGCCTCATCCCATATCGCTTCAGTACATCAAATACATCTTGCAGATGCTTCAGATGATCATCCTTCTTCCTACTCTTTACCACCATATCATCAATATAGGCTTCCACAATCTTTCCCATTTGATTCTTAAAAATTTTGCTAACAAGTCTTTGATAAGTTGCTCCCGCATTCTTTAGTCCGAAAGGCATAACTTTGTAGCAGTATGTTCCTCGCTCGGTTACAAAGAAAGTTTTTTCTTCATCTGCGGGGTTCATAGGGATCTGATTATAACCTGAATAAGCGTCCAGAAAGGTTAAACGCTCATACCCGGTGGTGGCATCCACCATTTGATCAATCTTAGGCAGCGGGAAGCTGTCCTTCGGACAGGCTTTGTTCAAATTGGTGAAATCAATGCATACTCGCCATCTCCCATTCTTCTTCTGCACGACAACGACGTTGGACAACCAATCAGGGTAGTGCACTTCTCTGATAAATCCCGCATCAAGCAGCCTATCGACTTCTTCCGCTATGATTCGATTGCGTTCTGGAGCAAATCTTCGCTGCTTCTGTTTCACTGGTTTGAAATTGGGATTGACATTCAGGGAATGACAGGATACGGAGGGATTAATTCCAGGCATGTCTAGGTGACTCCATGCAAATACGTCGGCATTGTGGGACAAGAAATCCACTAGCTCTTGCTGCTCTTCTCTGGTCAGTCTTATACCTACTCTGGTAGTTCGTTCTGGCCTGGACTGATCGATCTGCACATCCAGAAGGGGCTCTTCGGTCAAGTCAACTGACTCCTCCACCCTATTCTGCTCGGGCGGAGGTTCCTGTAATTGCTATCTGGGGCTTGCCGATCGGACGGACGCCTTCCCTTTCCCAGCATACTTTAGTGTGACGGAATAACACTCTTTGGCTGCAACCTGATCCCCCCGAATGTCTATCACTTTATCTTCATCGGGTCCGAGGCACCTTATGACCTGATGCAGAGTCGAGGGTACACCATGGACTCTGTGAATCCATCCTCTTCCCATCAGGAGATTATACGAGGGGTGAATTTCTACAACCACAAAGGTTTCCATAAGAGCTCGTTCTGCAGCTTGAACTTCTACTTCCACCATCCCGACGGGCTCCACCCTCTTGCCATCGAACCCTAACAGGGGATTTCCAGTGGGCTTGAGCCTCTCTGGTTTAATCTCGAGCCGATCAAATGTGTCCCTCGGCATGACATTCGCACTGCTCCCGGGATCGATCAGAACTCTGCGCACCAAGCAGTCCGCCACTGTTAAACTGACTACCAACGGGTCTTCATGGGGGACTTGAACACGCTGCAGGTCTGTCCTTTCGAACTTTATCTGCATCGACGTGATCTGCTGGTGTAGAGTATTCACACTGCTGACCCTTTTCTTCATCTGCGCCTGCCGTAGGCGTGCTCGGAGTAGCTCATCTGACTCTTCACTAGGCTCGGGTCGACCGTGGATAGCATTGATTATACGAACTGGTTGTGAATTGTGGGAGCTTTGTTTGTGACTCCTTTTTATTTGTTCCGCCGGTCGATTCTGCTCTATCGCCGAGCCTTGAACATAACTCGCGAACTCCCCTCTAGCTATCAACATCTCCACTTGCCTTCTCAAATTCCTGCACTCGTTAGTCTGATGACCGAAATCGGAATGGAAAGCACAATGTTTAGTCTGATCCCTCTGTTCGAGGGGTTGCCTAATTGGTAGTGGTGGATGAAACTTATCTTTGTTCTCCTGATATAGCCTCGCCAGAGTGACCTTCAGCGGAGTAATCAGCTCTTCCTCCCTGGACCTCTTTTCTGCCTTCCAGGAGGTCTGACGCTGCGGCTGAGTTTGCTTCTGCCTGATCTTTGCCTTGGACTTCTCCTCGGTCGACACGAGCGACGCTGTCCGAGCATTGGCTGCCTCCTCTTCTTCTAGGCGCACAAAGCCGTCGGCTCTTTCATTAAGTTCATCCATAGTCGTCGGCGTGTTCACTACCAGACTGGTATGGAACGGAATGCCACGTGTCATGGCCAACTTGAAGGCTTGAACCGCTGTAGAAGGGTGGCATTCGATCACCATACTCTTAGTGAGATTAAACCTGGTGAGAAAAGCCTGGAGACGTTCATCTTTGTGCTGTCTCATTGTGAATAGGCTTAAGATGTCCTTTGGCGGGCGCTTGTTCCCATAGTACTGACTTATGAACCGATCGCACAGATCTCGGAAGCTACCAATGGAGCTCTTAGGCAAGTTCTTGAACCAGCTGAACGCCGGTCCAGCTAGGCTTGTAGGGAAACATTTGCACATTAAAGCATCATTTTCCGTATTCAGGGCCATCTTCAACTGGATATGGTACACATGATCGATCGGATCGGTTGTTCCGTCAAACAGAATAAACACTGGCATAGCAAACTTCCTTGGATGAGGGGCATTCGGGATCTCGTCAGTGAATGGTGAATCAACCGTTCGAGCTGCGGATCGGAGCGCTTCATTCTCTCTTTGGCGCCCAGTGGTAGCTCTGTGGGCTACGGTTCTGCTCTCCGAACCACGATGAGTGATTGTAGCCATGGAAGGCCGGTAGGACGGATCGAACGACCGTTCCTCTATGAGCTCTCTTTGCCAAGGCGACGCAACTCGGCGGCGATCAACCTCTGTCACCTCGTCTCGGTTGAACCTTTCCTGATGTGGATCTAAGGTCATGGCTTCATTCTGTCTGATCTGCTCATGTCGCGGATCAACATGAGTTGATCCTTCGTGATCCTCAACTCGACGAACATTTGGCGGCAAATTGTCCATCATCCTTTCATCACGGTGATGAGCTGACTGATTGTTCTCGTCCTGCTCGCCCTGATGCGCGATATTAGATTGAACACCTCCTTCACCGACCGGAAGTGGATGCGAAACCGCAGGTATTTGCTGATGTTGCATTCCAGCTTTTAATTCTGCATTCTCTTTTTTGAGAGCTTCGATCAAGTTCATCAACTCCTCAAGCTTCGTTTGCTGGATAGCCTCCATCGGATTGGAGCTTTCACCTATCATTATTCCTGAACGGAGTAAAGGCATTAATCTCAGATTCGCGAGTAGATCTGAGCTTCGTGAGTGCGAATTTTTCAGATCTGGTTTCGAATTCTTCAAATTATGCCTACGGTTGACGAGATCTGAATTGTCCGAATTCTAAATCTGTCAGATCCTGCCACAATCGAGCAACTCGTTGTTGCGTTGTTCCGAAGCCACTTCCGCCAAAGCAGCAGGAACTAAGATTCTTCCAGAGTAGGTCACAATCGCTCAGATCTGGATTCAACTCCCAAAGGTTGAGTTTCGTTTTCACGAATTGGTCTGAATCCACACGATATTGATCAGTTGATCAATCAATCTTCAATGCTTCCCACAGACGGCGCCAATTGAAGATGCAAGAAATTCATACTCTCTTTCTCTCTCTAGAATTCTTACATTTCAACAAAAAGATCCCCTTTCTTTCCATTCCTTCTCCTATTTATAGACATTTACAAATATTGACGGATTGCTGGATCTGGGCCTGTTCCTCCATAAGTCCTGGTCACCTTTGATGGGCTTATTCGCGTTCGGCCCATATGGCAGTGTCTTTTTATGGGCCGACCCAGCTATACGGACCGGATGTCGTATTTGCAAGTCATATCCGGCCCATGTCATCCTGGGCCTCCTCATATACTGATTTCTTCTTCATGTCCTTTTGCTTGTCAGTATTTATGTGTCAAAGTTGTAAAAGGTATTGTGTTATCGAAATACAATCCAACTCCATTTTCTGCATATCCCTGCAACTATTTTTCTTATTTTCTTGCAATTTAGTTCCTAGCTAATCATTCATAATTGTTAGTTGATTGAGTATGGTCGGTACCGTGGCTGCAGATAATATAATATCCTAGGAGAAGCCACCATAACCTGATAAACCGCGTTTACCTTAGGAGAACAATATATTAAAGAAATTTCAGCCCGAGTTTTTTCTTTTTCTTTTTTCTTTTTTTTCCGGTGATCTGAATATTGTGAAAAGGGGGTTTTAGTTTTCTATAGCTCTCTTATTCTGACACTGCCTGGATCAATTTTTACTGATCAAAATAAGCCCCACAACATCAACAACATATAGTATTTTAATCTCAAGTTCTTTGATATCAAATCAGTAAGTACCAGTACCACACATCTTCACAAGTATATACTCAAAGCTCCAAAATTATGGAGCAATACATATATATACATATATATATATGGAATTATGGACACGAATATATATATATATATATAACCATATACTGACATAAGCACTCGTTACAATAAAATTCAAGGACTAACCTGCAAATTCAGGGGCTAAATGTTGACGCTTGAAAAGATCTACTTTGATCTCCTCAAAATCAATTCCATATGCCCTAAAACCAAAAAGCTTAACAGAAATCAGCCCAAAATTTATTGAAAGAAATAAATAAAAATAAATTGAATCACAGATGAAGTAATATCAATTTCAACGTAATATTTACAAATTCAACAAAATATATATATGTGTGTGTGTGTGTGTGTGTGTGTGTGTGTGAGTGAGCAAAGATTACTTGCAGAAGAGGAGAATTGCACGAGACGGTTGGGACATTCGATCGACAAACTTTTAGCTTCATCGTTCTCTCTCTGCGGGTTTTGCAGCTTGCTTTGGTGTGTGTAGAATGGAGTCAGCTATTTATGGTAGTTGCTGAGGTCGCCCCGCCAAATTTATCCAGTATGGTATAGTATAATGTATTTATTTTTAGTTTCAAATGAGTGTTGAGTAATGAGAGATATTTGTATTTAATTAAAATGATTAACTGTTCCCATCTCCAAACTATGATTAAGTTTATAATAGGACACCCCATTCTTGTTTATGAATTGTACCGTGTTTAAGGTCAACTTAAATGCGCTAACTTTGTGCGGTATTCGTTTTGAATTTTAACATATTGAAATGTATTAAATAGTTAATTTTTAAATATTTGTTTAAGTTTCTAATTTAGTTGATTGAATATGTAATGTCAAAGTGTTCATTAACTTTATTTGATTATGAAAAATCCTTTTTTATTTTATTTTAAATTTTTGGGTAAATAGTTTGTGATGGATGTATAAAATACTTGTGAATAAGAGTAGGTTGTCAAATTAACGCACTATCACATAAAATTGAGATAGGCTCTACCGATTACGATAAGAATTACAGATTACGATAAGGATTAAACTTACAGATTACGATAAGGATTAAGCCTATGGATTAAGTTGAGGATAACTTTATGTGGCATCCTGAGCTAAGCCTTGTAAAGAAAGGGGGAGTCACCTGACCTAAGCCTTATAAAGAAAGGGGGTTAATCAACGTTTTGAGGTATGTAATAAATCCTAACTCAATTTCTTGATTTTTCTAGAGAGATTATTTCGCACGTTGACTTGTTCGTCGGAACCTACTCCACCGATAACACATCGGTACTTGCAGGATCACCTTTTCTTCTCTTTATTTAAAAAGTCAGATCAAATCTTTAGTCGCTTCCGTTGCTACAATAAACTCTGCCTCTGTCGTAGAAAGAGCAATACACTTCTGAAGTCTCGATTGTCAACCTACAACCTCACCTGCAAAAGTGATCAAATAACCCGAAGTAGACCTACGAGTATCCACATCCCCTGCCATATCTGCATCTGTGTAGCCAACTAACAATGGTTGTTCGTTTCCCAAACCAAGTCTCAAACTGGAAGTGCCTCGAAGATATCTCATGATCCACTTCACTGCATTCCAATGCTCTCTTCCCGGATTTGACAAGAATCAGCTAACTAGACCAACTGCATGGGCTATATATAGTCTTGTGCAAATCATTGCATACATCAAACTTCCTACTGCTGAGGCGTAAGGAACTCTTTCCATGTCTCCCTTTTCCTTATCTGTAGAAGGACATTCCTTTGTACTCAGTCTGAAGTGGGTAGCAAGAGGAGAGCTAACCACTTTAGAGTTGTCCATATTGAACCTCTGAAGCACTTTTTCAATGTACTCCTCCTGTGACAAATATAACTTCTTGGCACTCCTGTCACGACTGATTCTTATGCCAATAATTTTCTTTGCTGGCCCCAAATCCTTCATAGCAAATGACTTACTCAATTGCTTCTTCAACTGTTCAATCCTTGAAGCATTCCTGCCAATAATCAACATGTCATCCACAAAAAGCAGTAGAATAATAAAATCATCATCAAAGAATTTATAAATAAATACACAGTGATCAGAAGTTGTCTTCTTGTAGCCTTGCTTCCCATAACAGACTCAAACTTCTTATACCACTGTCTCGGTGCTTGTTTCAAACCATATAGGCTTTTCTTCAGCTTGCACACATAATCCTCTTTCCCTTTCACTTTGAAACCCTCAAACTGCTTCCTATAAATCTCTTCCTCCAAATCACCATGAAGGAAGGCAGTTTTCACATCCATCTGCTCAACTTCCAAGTCAAGACTAGCTGCTAGGCCGAGTGCTATACGAATTGATGACATCTTTACGGAAAGAAGATCTCATCAAAGTCAATACCTTTTCTCTGACCGAACCCTTTGACAACCAATCTAGCTTTGTACCGTGGCCGTGAAGATAACTCATTTTGCTTCTTCCTATAAATCCACTTGTTTTCCAAAGCTCTTTTTCCTTTAGGTAGCTTCACTAACTCAAAGGTGTGGTTATCATGCAATGACTGCATCTCATCTTACATGGCCTCAACCCACTCTATCTTTTGTTCATCTTCTATGGCTTCTGCAAAACACTGGGGCTCTCCCCCGTCAGTCAATAACACATACTGCTCTGCTGAATACCGAGTGGAAGGACGTCAGTCTCTTGCAGACTTCCTGGATGGAATCACTGGTGGAATCTCTGGCGCTGTCAACTGCTCATCAATCTCAACATCTCCCTGAACCTGTAAGGGAACATCCACATCACCTGTACACTGGTGGTCATCCTGACCATCATTCTCAACCTGAAATGGCAGATTCTTCAGAGGAGCTAGATCCATATCAGTCAAGATATCACCTTGTTGAGACATAGATTTCCCTGCTTTCTTAATATCTTGAATCATCTGATATTTTACAAACACGACATCTCTGCTTCTCACAATTTTCTTCTCAACTGGATCATAAAGCTTGTATCTAAACTCATCTTGGCCATAGCCAAGGAATATACACTGTCGCGTTTTCACATCAAGTTTGGACCTTTCATCTTTTGGAATATGCACAAATGCTTTGCACCCAAAAACCCGCAGATGATTATAGGATACATCCTTACCTGTCCAAACTCGGTCTGGCACATCAAACTGTAGAGGAACACAGGGTGTAAGATTCGACACATGAACAACTGTGCTCAATGCCTCCCCCCAAAAAGATTTTGGCAATTGGGCTTGTGCAAGCAAACATCTCACTCTCTCAACCAGTGTCCTGTTTATCCTTTCCGTTACGCCATTCAACTGAGGAGTTTTTGGAGTTGTCTTTTGATGCCGGATACCCTGTTGTCTACAATACTCATCAAAAGGACCAGAATACTCTCCGCCATTATCAGTACGAATGCATCTCAGTTTCTTCCCAGTCTGTCTCTCAACTAGGGCTTGGAATTGCTTGAACACTGCCAACACTTGGTCTTTTGAATTCAAGGTATATACCCTCAACTTCCTTGAATAGTCATCTATGAAGGTCACAAAGTATCTAGACCCACCAAGTGTTCTCGTCTTCATAGGGCCACACACATCCGAATGTACCAAATCCAGTATCTCTGACTTTCTCGAATGAGGAGAATTCTTGAAGGAGACTCTACTCTGTTTCCCTGACAAACAATGAGTACACCTTTTCAGAAGTGTACTTTTTAGTCCACATAGTATATTTTTCTTCCCTGGTAGAGCTAATCTTTTCTCACTCATGTGAGCCAGTCTCTTGTGCCACAATTCTGTTGTATCATTATCCTCCATCGCATTACCAATGTCGTTGGAGATCTTTGTTTGTAGAACGTACAGTGTAGAGTGCTTCATACCTCGAGCCATAACCATAGCATCCCTAGTGAGCTTCCACTGGCCATCACTGAAAATGCTGCAATACCCTTCATCATCAAGTTTACCTGCAGAAATCAAATTCAAGCGAATGTCAGGAATATGCTTCACATCTCTGAGAACTAACCTCGTGCCATTATTCATCTTCAGATACACATCCCCAATTCCAATGACTTTAACCAAGCCATCGTTGCCCATCTTTACTGTTCCAAAATCACTAGATTTATAAGATGTAAAGAAATCCTTCTAAGATGTAGCATGAATGGAGGCACCACTGTCAATCACCCAACTAGTCTCATGGTATGCAACATTAATCATCTCATCATCATAAACAATGAGGAAGTCTGCAGGAGTGGTGGTAGCAACTCTGTCATCGCCATCTTTATCATCTCCATTCTTCGTTCCCTTCCCTTTCTCATTCTTGTTTTCTTTCTTCAATTGCCTGCAATATTTCTTGATGTGTCCCTTTTTCCCTCAACGATGACACTCAACATTTGCAAACTTGTTGAACTTGCTTCTGTTGTTATCTCTGTTCTTCGGACCTCTGCTCTTACTTCTCCCCCTCTTTTCTGTAACCAAGATCTCTGACTGTGAAGAAGATCCATGTGTTTTTCTTCTTATCTCTTCATTTAGCAAACAACTTTTGACCATATCCATTGTGATTACATCTTTTGGAGCGGAGTTAGACAATGAAGTTCTGAGCGTCTCCCACGAGTCCGGTAATGAACCAAGTAACCATAACCCTTGTATCTCATCATCAAACTTAATACCCATTCCTGCCAGCTGATTAATAATTCCTTGGAATGTATTCAGGTGATCAGATAAAGAGTCCCGTCCTGGTATCTCAAAGCCATCATCTGCTTAATCAGAAATAATTTATTATTTCCAGTCTGTCTAGCATATAGTTGTTCAAGCTTACTCCATAGAGAACGTGCATGTGTCTCTCCACTAATATGGTTCAAAACATTATCATCTACCCACTGCCTGATATACCCACACACCTGTCGATGTAACAAAGTCCATTCCACATCAGATTTGTTTTTTGGTTTTTCAGCACTAAACACCGGTAGGTAATAATCTTTCATATAAAGAAGATCCTCCATTTTTCCTTTCCATATGTGATAATTTGAACCATTTAAATTAATCATTCTACTCGTATTTGCTTCCATAACTCAAACTGCCAACTTGGCAATCTATCAACCTAGAGCTCTGATACCACTTTGTTGGGAGATATGACAATAAACAAACACAGCCGAATAATTCTTCTCCCTATATGCAAGCAAATATAGTATATCTCTACTTTTATATGTGCTGAAAATAATAGAGAACAAATCAATCACACCAAGCCGCAAGAACACAAATAATTTTTTACGTGGAAAACTTCCCCAGTGTAAGGAAGAAAAACCACGGGACCTAGTCCAGTTAAAATCTCCACTATCAACCAAATAATGGGTACACAAATTCTTCTCTAATCGCAATTAGAGGCTACAAAACATCTCATCAAGATAGCAACAATCTTGGCAAAAAAATTAGAGAGAAAAATACCAAAACCTGGTTACTGTTCACGGGCACGAATCACTGTTCCTGAGCTCAAAATCTGATCTCCACCGTTCAGATTGTGCGTCACTGAGTCATGAACCTCTCCTCCAAATTTCAGCTTGATCGGACCACGGACGAAGCGGAATCGGACGTTT